GGCTTGGTGGTACATGCCTGTAATCCCAGCTATGCAGGAGGATGAGCCAGGAGAACTGCTTGAATCCGGGAGGCAGAAAGGTTGCCCCACTGCACACCGGCCTTGGCAACAGAATGAGACTCAGTCTCAAAAAAAAAATTATGATTTTCTGTTTGTAAAATTTCTTCTTTAAGCCAGGCGTGGTGGCTCATGCCTGTAATCGTAGCACTTTGGGAGTCTGAGGTGGGTGGATCACCTGAGGTCAGGAGTTCAAGACCAGCCTGGCCATAATGGTGAAGCCCCATCTTTAAAAAAAAAAATTCCTTCTTTATTTCTTTGTGGTTATCATTTTATAAAGAAGAGCTGTCCTTTCCCTATCTCTGTACCCCATTTGTTTTTATCAATATGGATCTTTAAAAATCATTATATTATTGATTTCAATCATGATTTCCTTTACTCCTCAAATTAACCCAGATTCAGTCAGTGGCAACCTCATCAAGCTATTTCTCTGACCCTTTGCCATATTCCCATCAGTTTTTTTGTTTTGTTTTGTTTTTGTTTTTTGTACTTTCATAGTTTCTAGCACAATAAGATGTTCTATGAGTACCTTTTCCTTTACCTGCCTCAGTCCCAGAATCAGCCATTATCCTAAAGAGCTCCCTGGTTCCTTTTGGTGGGTAATGGCATTGACAGACTGTGATCTGGGCACAAGATGTCTTTATTGCCACATGAATACCTTTTGCTTCTAGGCCCTTTTAAGTGAACGGAGCTAGCAGTGAATATTTTTAAGTATATATGTATGTATTTGTACACATATGAAGATTTGATACTGATTTCTGTAATTCTAATTTAACAATATGCTTCTTTTTTCCTTCATTTCATATTTGTATCTCCTTGAGATCCCTGGTTACTTACATCATCAATATATTTCAAAAGATTTACACATTTGCAGGATACTATAATATGTAAAAGTAGTTTCTGAATTACTACATAAATACCACTATCAACAGTAAATGTATTATGTAATGTTTATGTTTTTTTGTAATTCTTTTTATTGTTAGGGTATTTTGCACTGACGGTGTTCAGTTAGTGAGTTCAAAAATTATTTGGATTAATTTGTCTTATCTTCTAGGTGGTTTTATTATCTATTTACTATATAGATTCATTTATTTATATTAGGATTTAATTTTAGGTTTTTTATCTCCCTTTAATTGTCAAGGTGACTTATATATTAAGAATTAAACATTAACACAGTTCAAAGCTCCAGTATATAAAATGATATACTCAGATGTCCCATCTCTTTCCCTATCCCCTCTCTCCTGTTTCCACTCATCTCCTCAAGGTAATCAGTTTCATTTCTGGGTTATTCCCCCTTTTCCTAATATAAAACCTACTGCCTTAGATATATTCTTGAGCAGGTAGCTTGTTTTCCTTAACATATTCTCAGGATTTCAAAATCACTCCATATAAGTTCATAAAGATTGTCCTTATTCCTTTTTTACAGCGATACATAGTTCCATCTGTGAATATACTATACTTCATTCAGTCTTTTCTTTATAGCATGCAGGATGATTGTGGTATTTTCCTATTATAAATAATGCTACAAAGAACAACCTGTGTCTATGTTTTATTTTTTTCTTATTATTGGAATGTGTCCTCAGTAAGTGACTCAAAGTAGGCAGCTGATATCACATTATATTAATAGCAATTAAAGCTAGCACTCTATTTTCATTTTAGGAGACTTGAGCACAGTGCCAGGGCTGGAAGAAGAACTGAGTAATGCCAAAGAGGAACTTGAACTCGTGGCTAAAAAAGAAAGAGAAAGTCAGGTGAGTTTTCTAGTCAAGTCTTAATTTTTAAATCCCTATTATTTTTCCTTTCAAAATAGTTTCTATTTAAAAGTGTATAATTCTTTAAGTAGAATATCTGAGTCCAAATGCCAGGTATGAGTTTTTTCTTTTTGGGACAGAAGAATCACTTGAACCCCAGAGGCAGAGGTTGCAGTGAGCTGAGATCGTGCCATCAGACTCCAGCCTAGGAAACAAGCAAAACTCCACCTCCAAAATAATAATAATAATAATGATAATAGTAAAGCACTAGTGTAAATAGGAAGTATTGTGTGATTGCTGCTTAGAGTTAATGACATTAGACCCATGAAATTAGTTTTAGAAACGTGAAACAAGAGAAACCTGAGTATAGTCAATGTTTATTGAATGTTCATATGCATGTACTGTGCTGGGTATTTAAATTAGCACTAATGCTTTCAACTCTACACAAAGTATATGGTGTTGGCCCCATTATTATAGATGAAGAAGCTGAAACACTGATTTCTCTTTTAGAATGAGAGTGGAGAATAGTCATGTTAACTAATAAATGCCAAAGCTTTGATTCAAACTCCTGTCTTTTGTGACTTCACATACTTCCTAAGATTCATTTTTCCCATCTTATGCTTT